CTTGATATTTTCCATAGAATACTGACAAACAAAAAATGTCAATCTCAAAAGGATTTGTCACACATATGGTACCTAAAACTATTTACCAACTAACATGCTCAAGTATTATATTTTGCTGAGTTGTTGAAGAAATCTTCTAGGGGTATCTTGTCATTTTGAGAACTAAGTTAAAAGTGATTAGAAAGTGATAATGACGGATTCTGAATATTTTATTATTCAACAAGAAGAAAGGATTTCCTTGAGTTGAGCGGATGACGACTGATCAGCAACCAGCTGCATGTTTTTATCCTTTTCTTGCCCTTGATCTTTATCTTTATTTCACCCTTTTTGTCACTTTTTATTTATTTATTTATTTTTAAGATCTACCTGAAAATTTAGCTGTAACAACCAGACACCTAAAATAAAAGACATCCACACTTTTTTTGTTCCTTAAAAATGCTCTGCTGTTAACCCTTCTATAAACCCTTTTCCCAACGTTCCCTCGATTCCACTCCTCTTCTAGATGTCATTCCGTCTGGGTTTTGGATCCAACGCTTTTCTTGGATCTTTCTCCATCCAGTCCCTATTCACTGATCTCGATTTCCCATGATAACCAGCCCAGATAGTCACCTGTTTGTTGCTGTGAGAAGGGGACGAAAACCCACCTATGGTCCAAAACTCTAAATCTGAAGGATTGCTTTCGGGTACTTTATTGCTTATTTGCATCCAAAGTCTTGAACTTTAGGTGAAAAATCTTTCTGGGTTTTGATCAGTTGAGAATTGTACCATGCCATCTAGATTCCTGGGCTTCTGTTACATGTGCTTTAAAAGTTAAAATCCGCAGTGAATTCAGTTTTTAGTATTACATTTAAGGCTAAAAATATAAGTTTTGGTTATGTTTGATTGAAGGAAGTCTGTTCTTTTTTGTGAATTAATTTGAAAAGGGCTGTTCTTGCCTTCTGGGAATTGGAGGTTTCTGGAAAGGGGAAAAGGGGAAATAGATTATCTTTGTTGTTTGGGAATGATTGATGGGTTCGGGTGGGTTCTTCATGATATGTATTCTGCATTCTTTGGTGGCCTTGAGCTGTGGAGGCGTGATGATGTTCCATAGTTACGAGTTCCTTGAATTCAGCCATGGGAGAGACCGTGCCAGTAAGCTCGCAGGATCAACCCCTCATGATCAGCTGTTAATCCGAACTTCGGATTCATTTTCAGGGTTGTTACTGTTTGCAATTGGTTTTCTCTTGCTCATGGTAGCTTTTGTAAAGGACAGGGACTTTCAGAGCTTTTTTGCTAGGGGGTGTGTGCTTCTCCATGTTGCAATGGCAATTTGGAGAATATACTTCGAGAGGAAGCTTGAAGTCCTTGGCCGCGATTGGCTTCGCCTGGTTGTTGGTGATATAGTATTGGGGCTTTCTTGGGTTTTTTTCCTTGTATATTCGTGGAGGGAGAAGTATGATTGATTTGAGTGGGAAGCTTACTTTGCCTGATCAGACACTGAAGATCATCATCAGAGAGGCGAGGCTGAATGGAATTTGCTTCCCAGCAGTGCAATCTTCTTGTTTCTGTCTCCTGTCTAGTGGATCTCGTGGATTTCTTTCACTATGTCTAGTCTAGTGCATCAGCACAAATTTGTCGATTTTGCTTTGTTTGTTGGTACAGTTTTCTTTTTTCCGATAAGAAATGGTAAATGTAATTTCCTTCTCTGAGATTGAGATTGTAATCTGTGTCTTTCCAGAACTCTGTTTGGTTTGCAATTCGCACTAGTCTCTTATTATGGTGTATATATGATGATATGAGTGCTTGGTTTGTGAGTTAGGACTCTCCCTTTGATTACTTTTCTTCAGTCCCCCATTCAGTTTCTGAATCAGTAATCAAAGTACAGCAGCTGCTCACTGGCAATTTTCAATGGCACGGCTACTGTAAACGATGAATTTTGCAAGTTGCTTTATTATAGCGGACTAATTGATCTGCTAGCAATCCTATGCTTACCGATCCCCGCAAAAACGGCTCAAGGTTGATTAGCTAATCGCTGATAGTGATAAGGCTGGCTGCCGCCTGGCAATATCATTAAGAACATATACGCGCACCTCTGACCTTTAGTTGAGTGTATGTTAAACGCATTTTTAATGAAGTGTGTGTTTGTATAGTGGTTTATTTGTCAAATTTAATTTGATTATATTATATTACAAACAAGTTTTTCAATAACTTTTGTTATCATCTTAATCATTTTCTTATTTCACGTGCGTTATATTTATCACATAAAAAAAAATCTCACATCCCTTGTATCCATCATATTAAAAAAAAAAGTGCTACGGTAATTTAAAAACGTTCTTGGTAACGAAGTTCTAGAGTGTTATTGGGAGATACCCAATAAAATAAAAAATTGTGAACTTTGTTTCTTTTTACCATCTCGATCTTTCATGAAGAGAAGGCACATTTTTCAGAAGTTAGAGTGCCAAATTAAACTAAAATAGTACTAGTACTTAATACTTTTGCAAGGACTTAATTGAGATATTCTAAACTTTTGGAGGGCTAGATTAATATTAGCCACGAGATTAATATTCTAAACTTGACTGCAAAGGCGAGCAGTCCTCTCCTTCCAGTATCAGAGCCCTCTTTTCAACACTTAAACAGAAGTCTTGTAGCCTTTACGCTCTTTCAACGCTAAAACAGAAGGAGAGGGAATCAAAAAATTGGAAGCAAGACCAGAGGTATGTCCTTTTAGTTACTTACTTACTTTTGGTCTATTTCACGTATTTGATGATAGATCAAGATTGCTTCTTTTTTGTATGCAAAGGTAAATCTTAATAGCGTAATAACTTTCGTGCACATGCTTTTGTGGGGTTTTTCCGTTCCTCATAATCGACTGAGTAAATTGCAGAGACGGGATATTTGCCTTACTTGTGTAGGATTAACACAATTATTCACGAAAAGGCGAAAACTTGATTGTATTTAATAAAAAATTGTCCTTTTTTTGTGCCCCTTTTGGCGGTGGGGAGGCGGGGGAGGAACTCTGTAGATTTCGCATCTTCTTTTCTGTCCATTAATCAATTATGATGTATGTGTACGTCTCTTTCATACTGATTTTGGCGGATATAGAACTCTGGTAATCATAGGAAATGCAAAAATGCTTGCTTTGCATTTTAAATTGTTTTGCGTTTTGGATTGTGGGAGTTAATTGTGTTAAGGATTGGTGTATGCTAAATTTGTAGAGAAACCTGACAACTCGAAAATTGGTATGGTGAGCTGACTCTTTTTTTTTTTTTGCGTATCCTTATCTGCCAAAATGGTTTGATGCTTTTATCTCCCCCACTCTCCTCTCAATACCTAATTGCTGACTTAGCATTGAATCCAAGAGGAGTGAGGACCAATAGCGTGCTAGAGTCCTTTGATTCTTTAGCTGTTTTGTGTTTCATCAAGGAGAAACTAAATAAGTAATCTTTCTGCTAGCGTGATCTTATGCAATTGTGTAAGTGAGAATCTCATGTCTAAAGTGACTTATAACTATTTATATCATTGCTGTGCAGCGATACTATAATTTGGATGGGTTCTTGTTGGAGCTCGTTCACATGAATGTGTCAAATCCTTTCAACTCATTCACTTGACCTGAAAGTTCTCCTCTGACAGTTTTGTTGATAATTGACTTGCATAGCAACCTTTTGTTTGAAGATCCCTTATTGTTTTGAAAACAATTAATTTCAAATTAGAATAGAAGAAAGTTGGCATTGGCAGTAGAATAAAATTTCCTTATAAGGTATCTCTTTTTATAAAACTGAACGAGAATCGTGATGATTCAAGTTGCTTAAGGTTTCAAGAAATGTTCATATGTTTAGGCTTCCTTTTCAAGTTGCCAACTTTTGCTTTTATTGATTTCTTTTTTCTTATCTCTGATATGTATTTCATTCTAGTTGTGCTTCTTGTGCATATTGTTGTTCTCAAATATTATTGAAGAGGGTAACTATTATAAATACTAATTTGCATTCAGTGTAGAGTTGATTTGTAATGGTTCAAACTGAGATGACCTTGGTTTTGCTGTTCTAGAAGAGAGTTTTAAGTTCAATTCATGGAAGACTTGATACTCATGTTCTTTTGGAGAAGGAATTAAGGTGAATCTGGATTCTATATCTTTTGGGTTGCCGAACATGGAAAATTGCAAAATCTAAGGATTGACTAGAATTGTCCTTTTGATTTTTGGGAGGTTGACTGGCTCCCCCAGCTCACTCGTGAACTTGTGAGTTGTGACGTTATATATCAAATTTAGGGAACATTAACGATATGGTGTAAGCTAAATCCCGTCACTTTACTCCCATAATTTAGGTATTTAAGTGACAAAAAAATCTACGAGGTTGTAAAACAAATCCACCAAATGATAGGTAAAATGAAACTAGGACCTAGAGATGTTTGCAATATGATCAATTGAGCATAAAGCTTCAGTTGATAAAGAAACTACAACAGATTTGCTTTAGATTTAAATTCTAGGTGGCAAAGAGTCAAAGACATTCACATCTAGAGTACAAATTAAAATTGAAGAATATAGTTCGGTGCCAGACATTCGCGGGCTGAGCTACTCTTTTCTTGGGCCAACCTAAAAGTATATACTACTCATATACCTGGCAAAGCTAACAATAGGGATTCTTTCAAGAAAATATGAAAACATAACTTTGAAGGACACTTGTAGTACATAGGTAAATTCAATTTTTTCGCTTGAAATCTTTGATTATCTCCAGTCATATATGCGTTGTTTTCTTTTTTATTCTTCAATTTTGATGAAGATTCTTTTACCAGGAATATACTGCCTGCCAGAATAGTGTATTAAACTGTATGTTGATTTTGTGCAGTTATATGGATGCATTTAGCTTTCTGTTTGTAATTAGACTGTACATTGAGTCTGCATCATAGCATGTTTCTCTGATAGCTGAGCATATGATTGTCGTCATTGCATGTTTATTCTTTGTGTATTCCAACTTGGAGCTTTGAATCTTATAGTTTTGAACCCTCTTTTTTTTTTTTTTACCAGGGAGTTCATATAATGGGTGGATTGCCTGCACAGAACTCTTCATCTGTTATCTCCTTGAATGTACACAAAGATCAAAGTCCAGGTTCTGTAGGACCAGGGCCGGATTCAAAGCCGCGGAAGAAGATATGCTGTGCTTGCCCCGAGACAAAGAAACTAAGAGATGAATGTGTTGTGGAGCATGGCGAAGCTGCTTGTGGAAAATGGATCGAGGCTCATCGTAAATGCCTCCGTGCGGAAGGCTTCAATGTTTAAAAAGTATTACCGTGGTCGATTGGATACACGAATTGCATTATGCTGTGGAAATTGATAGAATTTTTGTTTCTATTGTTTTGGGCTGCACCATACACTGGATTTTTGTCTGGTATAGTAATGTTACAGATTAACCGAGAGATAACTGAAATGCAGCATTTGCTCATTCCCACATAAAGGGTTCCTGATGAAAGACAGGGTACATACTTGGTGCTGGTAGAAAGTGTACGGGAGGAATGCTAAAGCATATCTATCAGGGAATAAAAGTTTCAGAATTCTAATTGTGCCCCCTTTTTTTTTGTGGTTATCCTCCTGCAAGTGCATTTGTTATTGTTTTGTACAGGTTGTGCATTTACTGATGCTAGTCCTGGCCTCTGATTTTTTTGAAGGGTTACTCGTCCTCATGTTGTTGTTGTGATTGCCTCTCTTGTGAATGCAAAGTAGCCTCCAAGTTGAAGCTTTCTGAAATTAGATGCTACTAGATTAGCTTTACTAGTTGTTGTCTTATAATAGACAAAATTTTTATAAAAAAAAAAAAAAATAAATTAAATTGGTGACTGTACTGGCTTTAAAGTGTGAAGATCCGCCATTTTATTTTTATTTCTTGCCCTGGGAGTAAGAGGGATTCTGGTCTGGACGGTTGTTTGGGCCCAACTTATGAGAATGTCTCAGGCAACGGATCCCAAAACAAAATGCGGAGAGGTTTATACAAGAGAGTGGGGGGGAGGGTCTACTCGACATTGCAGTGGGCTACTCATAGTTTGTGGATGGGCTGCGGGGCCTGGCTTTAGAAAGTTGCAATAAATACTCCTATTTGTTTCAAAATAAGGAAATTAAAAAAATTGAGTCCTAAATAAAGTTGAAAACCTGAAATGGATGGTAGCTGATGAATGTACTCTAATTCACAGATTTAACCTCCAATTTTTCTTTTGGACGTTTAATTAATTAATTTTTTTGGTTTGGAAGAATATGGTGGAAGGTCTAGGCATTATTAGTAAAGTTGCAAGCCCTATTAATTGGGTTAAGTGGCAATTTGCGTGACTTATACTTGTTTTTGCTTCAATTTGCGAATGTCCTCCTTGACATGATACATACATATATATATATATATATATATATATATATGCATTCCAGAAAGTGATTTAGCTGAACGAACTTTGCAGACCATATAATAGGATGAATGTGATTTTGTTGTATCGATGATGTATTCCTTAGGAGTGGGCGCGAAACTTATTGCTGCCATTCGTCACGTCTTTGCGTGGCAAAAGATAAAGGCGTGGACGCAAAGGGCTTCTCATCTCATCTCGATCCGCGGTTGATGCCCAGTACAGAAGAAGATTCAACACTAGTCCTATATTATTATCATTCATCATGATGGAGTGACAAATTCTTTTGTATCTTTTTGAATGGAAGTGAGAAATTCAAGAGTACTAAAACATTATTGTTATTATAATCACCTCGTTACAGGATGAGGAAGGAAACACACAACATAAACAGTGATTTGTCAAATCACTGGACCATCAAAACAAAAGACAGACCCCACAACACAACACAAATTATTGACCATCATCACATACTAATTTAGAGAACCTCACTACATAGTTTTGTATGAATCAGGAGGCACTCATATCATATGTATATGTGAGAGCCGTGTCAATTGTCACAGGTGCAGTTGACACAGGCGCAGCTCGGACCGCACTTGCACTTGCCATTTTGCGCACCTCCTTCCATCATCACGAAGGTCTCCACAAAGCTGCAAAAGTAAACATGGAAACATGAAATTAAAAAACAAAAAAAAAAAATGGTCCGGCCATGAATTTTTACCCTTTTAATAAGTGAATAAAAAGGACAAAATACTCGAATTCTTCGTTTCTTCTAGTATAAGTGGGAGGGTTCCTCCGAAGGAAAACATTCAGCCTATCTATCCCCAAATACTCAACTTTATTAACTAGAAAGAAGTAAGCAAGACACATACGTGTTCTCGGTCTCAACAATGTCAGCAGCATAGCTGCTTCCTTTCTTCCTGCAATTCAATAACCATATTTGCTTAGCTTGATAAGTACGCATGCACAAAATAAAGAACACTCGCGCAACTGGGGAAAAAGAAAGTACTCGCATGACATTTTGACTTCATCCTGTATATATGCACACACTCAAATTGGTTTACTATATATAGTTTCGACATAGTAAAGATTACACTTGTTCGTGTAAAGAAATTCTTAAATTCGCAGTTCATGATGTGAGGGATAAATCCATGTCTAGACATATTCATGGAGAATTGAATATTAATCGTACGTATCATGGGATCATGGTGTGAAAAATCATGCGGCTATGAGTATGGTGGCATATAAACTTTAACAAGATCTATAAGAAGGAGAAACACTTACACGCACTGGCTCTTGTCAGCGCAGTCGCAGTTTCCGCACTTGTCCGACATGGTGAGAAAGAAGTTAATACAAGTGATAATAAAAGCAAAGAACTGGATTAGGGTTTGTTGCAGCTGTGGTAAATTGCTGTGTATCCAAGCTCAATGCTTGGGGCAGTATTTATAGATGGTGAGATGCCATGGAGCAATGGAGAGGAAATGGGCACAGTCCCATCAAAGGGCAGGGACACCGCGGCCCAATGAAACGCGAGAGGAGCACACGCCTCTGAGTAAAAGTCGAAAGGAATCTTGATCATGGAGGCTCGGCCTCCTATCCTCCTCTCGTGTCAACTTCACGTCCCTTTTACCAAGAAACACTCGATGGATGGCGGTGTTTTCTGCGCTTCATATTGCTCCTTTTGTTTTTAAAGGTTAATAATATATATTCCAATCCGTTTGTACGCATTCAATCTTTGCCACTCCATTTATCTTTAGCAAAGCGCAAAAGATATATGCGAATTCATTTCTTTGGATGCCTTTTGCTGTACGAACTGTACGTTTCATGTACAGTAATCGAATCGATATTTGATTAAAGATCTTGTGTTATGCATGCCTATGACTATGCAAATTCACCCAATAAGTTGTTGGTCATAGTAGAAGATCAAATTAGAAGACAGTATATGTGGAAAGAGCAAATATTTGATAATCCAATCAACAATTGGTTAGAAACCTTTACTTTAATGCATGTATAATAACTCTTTCAATAAATTGTTGGTTAAGTAGAAGATTGAGTTAGAAGACCGCATATGAAGAAAGAGTAAATCTTTTAAGTAGCATAAAAGTGTGTGAGGGTAACAGAACAGTGGAGAGATCCTCAGACAAAATAAGGCTATTAGTATCTAGCTTTTTTTTAACTTCAGGAGTTGTGAGCTAGTCAAGAGGGAAAGTAACAAGTGGCTGTTGGAGTATTAGCCAAAACCATCGCAGTCTGAGTTCGATTATTAGCTGTCCACAACCATTTGAAAAGTTTTATAGAGAATATATAGTATTATTGATTTCTCTCCTCCGCTACTTATATTGGCAAGTTTTCTTGGTGTATGTGCAAATATCTCCTGTCTTGCCCTATCAAAATTCAAAGGACGACGTGTGAACTCAAAATTCAAAGACGAAGGCTTTGGCTGTGTTCCAGGCCGTGCCCGTGTCAATCTTGTTTGATAATTTGATTTTAAGACTCGTGAATTACTTTTAGTATATGCCTTTTTTTTGACAATGAGGTGATTCTGTTTGGATTCTGCCAATGATCATCGGGCCTATTTGGGAGTGAGTTTTTTAGCTACAAGTTTTTTAACAACTTTAGCTATAGAAATTCAAAAAAATTCATCAAATTTTTTAACGTACGCATTTCAAAATATCTAATACATAGAAAATTTCTATCTTTTTTCTTCTTTCTCCCCCACCCCATCCACCTTACCTTCATCACCAACCACCACCTCCGCCGCCATTTTCGGCGCCGGCCCCCTATTCCGGCACCGGCATTCCCAAATTTTTTTTTCCTTCCTTTCTCCCTCCCTCTCCTCCCTAGCCAAACTCCCCTGACCTATGTAGCAGCAGCAGTTACTTTCCTCCTGCTCTGATTTTTCTTTCTCCCTCCAATCACGCCAACGCTATGGTTGACGAGAGAACAGGGGAACAGGGAAGGGGGTGGCGGGAAACGGGAAATGGGAAGGGGAACAGGGGAGGGGGAAATAGGAGGGGAGTGGCAGGGCAGAGGGGAAGGGGAAGGGACAGAGAAGGTGGCGGGGGGAGGGGGTGAAGGGGGGGAAAGGGTAGGGCAGGACAGAGGGGGCAGAGGGGGGGGTGGCGGGAAATGCAGAGGAGAGGAGAAGGTGGCGGAGGGGAAGGAAGAAGAAGAAGAAAGAGAGGAAAGAAAAAAAAAGAAAAAAAAAGAAAGAGAAGGAGAAAGAAAAAAAGAAAGAAAGAAAAAAAAAAGAAAAGGAAAAAAAATTCACCTTACAAAAACTTTTACAAAATTTTTTATCTTACAAAAATTTTTACAAAAAAAATTTTCATCTTACAAAAATTTCTATAAAATTTTTTCAAAAACTTCTACAGTGCACTACAGTAAAGTTTTAGATAGACTCCCAAAAAAATCCAAGTTCCAAACAAGCGGATTTGACGGTTAAAATTGAAGTCCAAAATCGACCAAACAAGTGTACGCCTGGCAATCACCGAAAATGTGCATTGGCTATATATTATACCAAGAAGTCACTCGCACGGCAGGAGATCCTGCTTGGGATAGATGCTCCTGCATGTTGGACGTCCATAAGCTTCACATTTGAACATTTAAACACGGTCAGTACATTTTTCATCTCTTGAGTCATCTCAAAATACCATAAACAAAACGAAAAAGAAAAAAAAAGAATTTTTCAGATTTAGCAACATAAATTGGACAGTCTAGTTTGGTCCATGAACATCGAAAGAAGCTCAGGGAGGTTTCTTTGAACATCGACGTGTGGAAGATTCTAAAATATTCTTTTCTTCCCTTGGATTATAATTTTTGAGATAAGGGAGATGATCACAGGCTTCTTTCACGGGTTGTGGGGCAATTGCTTCTCATTATAGCCAACCCTTTTTCGAGTCGTTTTGTCAAACGAAGCATGGCCTTATAAATATATCCTCCATCTTTTTATCTAAATAAAGGAAGGCGACTCGATTCATGGCTGTCATCTTCATGAGCTTGCCTTCATGTCACCTCCAGCCTCCACTCCCTCCCTCAGACGAGTCCATATCATTGCCTGGTTTGATTGACAAAAAAAAAAAAAAAAAAAATCTGAATAACCATAAATTTTTAACATGGCTCGGAAAAAGGGCTCTTCAACAGAAAAACGAAGCGTCCAGGAGGTTTTCAAGAGCCAAATGCTTTGATCTAACACAGGAGTTGTATGAATAATTGTGGTTAGCAATTGTAAAGCCACGGCAGTAAAT